GACATTTTGAGGCTTGGATGTAGTGTCGTGTAGCGCAGCTGTAGCTATAGTTGTAGTGTAGTGGAGTTGTAGTTGTACTGCAATGTAATTAATGTGGTGCAGTTGCAGTTGTAGTTGCGGTGTGGTGTACTGAGTGTAATGCGCTGTCATGTCGCGTACTGTTGTGTGCTGTACTGCTGCGTGCTGTAGTCGAGTCGTGTCGCGTAGTGTCATGTCATTAGTGCAGTGTCGCGTAGTGTGCTGTAGTGTCGTTGTAGTTGTAGTTGTGGTTGTAGTTGTAGTGGGGTGTAGTGTCATTGAGTGTAGTGTAGTGTGGTCTAGTGTAGTGTAATGTAGTGTTGTGTAGTGTAGTGTCGTGTAGCGAGCCTACTTTTCGACCCTCCGGAGCCACCGGTCATTGGAAACACACAGTGCTTCGCGGCTTTTCTACCCTTTCCCGCACCTGCATCTTCTTTCTTCTGACACTTTCTCTTCTCTGATCTTCTTGCTTCTTCTCTACTCTTCTCTGACTCTTACCACCTCTGCTTTTCCATATGTCCCTCTTGTCCGAAGTTTGACTTCTAAACGTCCTTTGATTAGATACATTTTAGATGGTTTGTTGCCATGATAATGCACAAAAAGGCAAGCGACGAAAAAAAGATTGCACGCCTGCAACAGCGTCCGTTGGTGCACTCAGTTTCACACAGACATGAACCTCCAGGGGTCGGCGGCAGAGGGCGTAGCCCTTTGTGTATGTATGTATGTATGTATGTATGTTTGTATGTATGTATGCATGTATGTATGCATGCATGCATGCATGCATGCATGCATGCATGCATAGAGGGGGGGACGAAAGGTAGGTGGGGGCAAATACAGGAGGGACAGGAAGAGAGAGAAATTAGACGAGGATAAGAATAACAAGAAGAATAAAATCACGGTCAGTATTACAAGAACTAATGCAAGATCGAGGTGCTGAGTTTGCTGACAAGATACATGCACGAGATGGGGCTAAAGTGCTTCGACCGATGGATGCTCGGTTGAGGCACTTTGTGTGTAGAGGTGTAATCCCTCAAGGATGCAACGCTCATGCTAAAGGAATGCAGCATGTGGTGGCGAGTATATAGAGTCGATGGGGATGAGCACGTAGACAGCTTCAAAGCAGCGAAAAATATACAGATATCCAATACTTGAGAGGGGGGGGACGAAAGGTAGGGGGGGGCAAAAGAGAGCAACAGGAAAAATATTGCCAAACTGAGATTGATACTTCTCTTCACTCAAACCTCCTGCAGAAGAAAATGTTAGCCCCCAAAAAAGCTTTGTGGGAATAGAATCAGAAACATAATGTCAAATGTAAAGTAACTTCACGCCGCGCGCGCGTGAACCATCCTGCATGCAGGTGCTTCTCCGCGCGCGCGCGCGCGCGCGCGCGCGCGAGCGCACGCATGTGCGGGACGTAAACATTGCGAGTCTCTATTCCCCGGCACGGCCTCAATGGGACTAGAACATCCACGATAGATCGATAGATCAATACATCGATAGATAGATAGATAGATAGATAAAACTATAAATAAATAAATAGATGAATAAATAGATAGAGAGATAGAAGCATCGATCGATAAATAGATAGATCGATGGCTACCTTGATCGATAAACAGATAGATAAATAGATAGATCAATAGGATAGATAGATAGATAGATAGATCCAAGGATAGATAGATAAATACATACATAGATGGACAACTAGATAGATAGATATATCGATAGATAGATGGATAAGGAGGTAGGTACAGAGTCAGAGAAAAAGAGAGAGAAAAAAATGCGGACCAGGGGGGAATCGAATGGGGGGGGGAGGGGGGGGGCCCCCCCCCCCTAAGTCTCCGTTCGTGACTCTCGGCTTTCAATTTCCGGGAAAGGAGCAGCCACCTCCCCCAGTACTAAACTAGTACTAAAGTACATAGAACTCAGGTAGCCTAGGCTACCTTTCGTGATCACCAATCTCCAATGACATGCGCTTTTTGGCTGCGGGCCAGGGGGGAATCGAATGGGGGGGGAGGGCCCCCTTACTCTCAGCTCTGCTCTCAATTTCCGGGAAAGGGCCAACCACCTCCCCCAGTACTAAACTAGTACTAAAGTACATAGAACTCAGGTAGCCTAGGCTACCTTTCGTGATATGTATGTCTGTATGTCTGCATGCATGCATGCATGCATGCATGTCTGTATGTCTGTATGTCTGTATGTATGTCTGTATGTATGTATATATTATATACACATTTATGCAAATGTTATTTTGATAATGTATAAATTATATATATATATACTGTAGATCTGTGTGTGTGTGTGTGCGCATGTGATTTTGTTTGCATATATTTGGCAATCTATATATTATTTGTCAAGATCTTTTTCATTCACAAATTTTCACAAGTCCCAGGGCACAACAAGGTCTCGTTCAGTGGCTTTGCATCGACACAGCTGCAAACATGGCAAAATACCTCAGAATCTGCCCAAGACCAGCAAAAAGTGAGGTGTGGGATGTTGCAACTTTACTTGCCATTCGCCATGGACAACTGCCGTACCTGCTAACAGTTGCCATCTAAACTTCGCCAAGAAACGTTGCCAATGCCTTGCGAATCTCTCTGTCGCTTGCACTTCGAGCAAATCTTGTTGGAATCACTGCACAGGGAGTGGCAGGGAGCCGTGACCATTCACAGCATTGCTTGGCATAGCTTAGCATTACTCTCAAACAGTGGTTTGCAAGCGTGAATTCTACTGTTCCAGCATTCCACCGTGCTTTTTTCCCGGCGTTTGACTGCTAGATTGCTAGATGTCAGCTGCGCCTGAACCATGGGCTCAACTGTGGCAACTTTCCCTCGCCCTCCATCCACCTTTTGAAAATGTCCTGCAAATCGATAGACCAGAAACCAAACCACCACCGGCCACCTCGCAGCCGCATTCTGAACTTCTACGGTATAGTGTCCTGATTGCTCTTGGTCAAAACATCAGCAACCTGAGCGCCAAATTGCAAGCGAGTCATTCTGACACAGCTGTTTATATCAAAGAAACACATGTCCAAGAAACAAGTAACGCAAACGTGTTGCGAATGCAATTTCATCCATAGCAGCCAGTAGATGTTGACGATGTGTTGGCTACAACCCTGGTTGTCATGATGGTCTCAAACCTTGCGCTCAGTTCATGGCCGATGTGTAGGCAGCGGTGTCTGGCCAATGCTCCTGTCTCAAGTTGGCATCAAAAAAATGGGCCCAAATCCACTGATGTTTATTCTCAAATATGGTGATGATATTTTTGGTGACTGACCCATCTCCAATTCCACCCATGCCCCACCTGCTGTGCTGTTGTTCTCGCTGAATCCGTTCTTTGACCTCGCCCGAAAAATGGGTTGCAATACACAACACATCAAGAGGGTATAGCACAGGTTACCAGGGTCATCCAGGTGTTTTTGGGCACCTGGTTTTTGAATATCTGTGACTCATACTCTAACGAGTTCGTTTGGTTGACTGTGAAAAAGTGCCGCGCCTCGACTTGAGGGTGATGGAGGAATGAGCGGCCCTGGCATGTGTTCAGTATTCACTGGTATGCCATCACATTCAAACGGAAGACAGTCAGTCACGCATTCAATCACGAAAAAGCCTTGTTCTGTGAGAAATCCTTTGAATCGCAGATGCAACATGTAGGGCGTGCAGTGCCATGTCATCCAACCCTCTAAGCTACATTGCATTTGTTTGCATGGGAAAAGTCAGCTACTTTGCCTCCTTCATCTGTCTTGGAAGATTGTTGCGTCGCAGGCGACTTGGGAAGCTCTGCCGCTTGTGTAGGTACTGCACGCCGGCGAATATTGCCACCATTTGGTGCATGTCAAGTATTTGATAAATTTGCAAAAAAAATGTGCGTACCTTCACAAGTGCATGTGTTTTGTTAAAATCTTAAATGACTATATATTTAAAAGTATTCACACAAAATCTCTTGTATATAATTGGGAGGTGCCTCATTTTCGGACAAAAACATATTGTTTCAATTGTTTCTGTTCTAATGGTATGATGTTGTTCAATGCCTACGTCCACCACTGCCGTGACGACAGCATTGCGATGATGAAGCCGTTCTTCTTTGGTATCTTTGGCATCACGTAACACCTCAAGAGACTTTCCAGAGCGGTGTGGAACTTGAGCGATCATTCAGGGTCGTATTCATTGGGTTCAGCCCTTTCTGTCACAAGCAGAAATGTAAACAGTTGCATTGCGTGAGCATGATCATCACTGCATGTTTTGATGTTGTCACAACAACATAAAACAACCAGCCCAGGCCTTGCGAGCAGCTCCCACCATCTTGTTCAATGGCATCGATCCAGTCAGCTTTGAAGGATCCTCCTGAAGCATCAGCCACTTCAACAGTCAAGGGGGGTTCCAACCCTCAAACCCTCCAAGTCATGGATGACTATGGATGACTATGACTTAGTATAGGTTAACCTCTGGTGAACGCGTGACGACTGGGGATCCCCTAGCCTTTTTGGTCTCTGCCGCTGGTGGAGGACTCCGAGGTCTCACCAACACTGTGGCAGCCTGCTCGGCCTGGGGGAAACCACCAACTTGGGGACCATCCAAGGTTGGGATAAATCTGAAATCCAAATAACCCAAGCAATTTCCATGACTTTCTGGCAGGGTCAAACAAATCTCAGGCTGCAGCGGCTGACATTGTGGCTTTTTTACGCTGTTCATTGTGAAGTTTCACCTAGGACGGACAAGTCTGACAAGACTTGGGCACAATTCGCAGATTGCTTTCACATGTTTTCACCTATTTTTTCGGAACGCTTGGAATGTCGACATTTTGTACAAGTTCGATCAGGTTCGCAGGCGGCAACAAAAGCTGGAAGATCGGAGTTCCAAGCAGCAAGGTCAGAAGATGCCCACTTTTTTGTGTCATTAATGTTAGCCGTTAGCCTCTATGACTGCCCAGCAGCAAAGTCAATGCACACTAAACTTTGTGGTGCGAAATTCTGGCCAAGTCAAGAAGTCAACAATCAAGCTCCTAAGACTTGAAGCTTGTAGCAAAAATATGCAACAAGTGAGTAAATCTAAGATTCCCATATGGCAAATGAAAGATTCGGTGGGTCTTTGAGCTCACGACCAAGCGATCATGCTGGTGATGGAGAAAGTTGACCTAAGGTCAATGTCTATCAAGAAGCAACTACCGGATAACTACAGGAGATATGGGTTTGTCCAAAAAATGAATACCCCCAAATTTGATCGTTCATCATCACCTCCCCAATCAAAAATGAATTGTTTGGTATACACCGCATTTTCAGACCAACCCATATTGCAAGACAGTGGTTAGGTGGTTGAGCCACACACCACGTAAGTTGCTTTTGCAGCCGATGCCGCACAGCACTTGACGAAAGCCCCACTGCCCTGCATGTGAAGGTGTCCTACCACGGTGAAAGTCATGAGTCAAAATCATGGGAAAGCACACAAGAAACAGCTTTCCTGAGTGATGACCCAAGTTGATTGCCATCCAGCTTGTATGCTTGACACTGCAGCCGAGACAAGCCTAGAAGCAGAAGAGTTTCGACAAAAGCAGGCAAGTTGAAGGCCACCGGCACCTGGTGTGATCATTCGCCGAATGAATGGCACGCAACTCTGGACTGCAGCTGTCACAAAAATGGCACACAGTGCTCCTGTAGAATCTCAAGAGTGCAATTCCCAAGCCTCGTTGCCTGATGAATCGACCTTCCACGGCACGGTCCCAAAATGTCCCAAATATCCATTGCCAAACGCCAAAGTGACTCTGCCGTCTCTTGCACACTCAGCGACTTCCGTTCTCACTGCAGTGTTTTTCTATGTTTTTCTTCTAAGTTATCCGTACACCTCTGGTTCTTTTTGTGCAGCTTTCAAGTTCAATGATAAGTCCTTCACATATGTCTGCTTTTCCATTCCGAAAAAAGAAAGAAACTCATGCCACAAAAAGAAATATATGGAGATGTCCTAAGTCAACAAGGTATACCCCCAAACCATCCAATTCATGGATGACTGACTTAGTATAGGTTAACCTATGGTGACAACTGGGGACCGGCAGAAACCTCCCACGAGTGGCCTCTAGTGGCTCCGAGCTCAATCGTCGAGCCTGCCACGAGTCCAGCATCAGTCGTAAATGGCTAGCGATCTTTTTTTGATGTGTTTCTAAAGGTCCAAATTGTTGATTTAAGATGATGTTTAATTATGTTTAATATGATTTAATTGATTTTGATGAAGATGATGATAAACCATTTCAGAATCGAATTGGAGAGTAGCCTAGTTTCCGAAAAATCACGTGAAGCCCAAGGCAAGAACTTTTTTCAGCCAAACTCGATGGTTCTGTGAAGTGACAGGAAATCTGGCAGACTCCCAACTGGCGGGAAGAGCCTGGCTGCCTTCTTTCACACCAGTCTGGTGTTTATGGATTTTCATCCCCAAAAGAAGGTATCAATTGCTATCAATTGGTATCATAGACATGTTGCGCAAATCCCCCAATCTCTGAGGATACACCAACGGCCATTGGCCGTTTACGGCCTCCTCACCAAGCGTCTGCGACCATGGTCCACCTTCCAAGGCCAAGACCCAGCAGCTCGACTCATTCAACACACCCAATGAACCGCATCAAATTCCAGAAAGGCGACAGCTCCTGCTATGAACAGTTCTTGAATATCTACTCTTTAAAAAAGAACACGAGAAATAATGACAAGGTATGACTGACAACATGCTTGCCTCTGGGTTCAGCGTTCGGACGTCTCCTAGCCTCATCCTCTCGCACCTGATGATCACAAGCACGAATCTTCAGCATCGCACACAAAGGAACTGAAGGATATGCCAGATATGCAACCATGACCTTCCTGGCCAGTGGCCAGGGGTCGGAAATCAGACTCCACTGCCGCCCATTGCCCCGGGAGCCCTGGCAGCATTGATGGCTTTCTCCAACTCCACCGGATCGAGCTGACCGCCCGAGCAGGGATCGATGACTTGCATGAACTCCTGCCGAAAACGACAATGATAAACATATTTGGGGAAACTGGAAGTGACAAATTGATACTCATGAATATTTCTTGAATTGAAGAAACTGCCCTCCAAAAAATTGATCCACTATATCTACCTACAATACAACCCACAATAGTTGTGAGCAAATGAATGCGTAACGAACCACGTGGGTAGAACCGATAATCCCCCAGCCCTGCACAGGTCCTGCAACTGCGAGGAGGTCTCAAAGCCATGGGTGATGCGAAACTTTTTCAAAAGCTCCATGAAAGCGATGTAGCTCAGAAAGCCCTCAGCATTGCTAGGGGATTGACCCAAAAAGGTCCAACCGTTAGGTGATGAACCAATGAATTTGAGGTATACCCCATTTTCAAAACCCTTAACATCCTCTCGGTTTTTTTGAGGTCTAAAATAAAAAAGATTGAAAAGGTATTGTGCACACAGCAATGTTTGAAATATATATATATATTTGTGCAAAACAAATATTCGGCGTTCTTTATGAATCCCATCAAATTCTCATAGATTCGCCACGGCCTGTCGCGATCTTTGGATCTTCCCCACGAGGACGAGTCCACGGACCTGAAGCGCCGAAGCGACGCGCCGGTGAACAAAGTTCAGCGTGGGCCAGCAGCCAAACATCGCCGGAGCCACGTTCAAAAAATGGTCTCTGCAGCATTCATCCAAGGAGATCAGCAAGGAATAGCCTTTCAATTCCTGCACGGCCGATTGCAGAACTTGGCGAATTTCATGTGAAGATGCTCACTCCAGAAATCTCTGGAAACATGGGTTTCGGCGTGATAGTTTAGGAGCCAGTGATTCGAATGGCAGTCTGTTCAACTGGTGCAGTTTCAGCTGGGGGGGGGCATTGTCGAACCGACCAGACCGCCAAAAAGTGCACGGGACTATGGTAATTCGCACATTTTGCATATCGATCCAACAGCATCCAACTCAACCGTTTCGACCCCACATGTCCGCAACACGGGCTCACCTTGGGATCAACTTCCACCAACAAGGCCCCCAACTTGGGCCCAACTTGTGCCCAACTTTGGTCCAACAAGTTCGACCCGTTTGGGAGCAACTTCAGCCCAAGTTAGGTCCACATTGCGTCAAAACGGCGGACATGGCCGGCCCGATCCAAAACACTCAAAAAACGCGTTTTCACTGGTATTTCCCCATGTTGTGTCTCTGTTGGGGCGCGAAGCAGTCGCCAAAGGGTCCCAACTTGTGCCATGTTGAGCATGACCTGGGCCTCCATGTGTTTGTGTGGCAGGCGTGGCATTGGCAGCATGGACCTCCATTCTGTGTGGCAGGCGGGCTCTGGTGGCGCGCTTGGTTTCTGTTGATGCCGTTGTTGTTCGTGTGGCAGGCGTGGCATTCGAATTCGTCGACCTCCATTCTCTATGGCAGGCGCGGCACTGGCACTTGGCGACATTGACCTTCACTTTGTGTGGCAGGCGTGGCGCTTAGGTTGACATCCCATATATGTCAGCGCGGTGAGAAAAAGCCTCAGGACAAAATCCGCCCACACCGCTTTGGCGGTGAAGGCGTGCTTATTGGGGGGCAAAACAGCAACACTAAATGCTCAATGACATTTGTTAACATAGCAGTCGCCATATCAGCTTTAGCTGGGAGGGGGGGCCAAAAACGGTTTCGCACCGAGACCAGAATACGGTGGTGTTTTCGACATTTTTCGAGGATTTTTGAGTGTCTGAGCGCAAGAGGGTATTGAAATGGAATTTTGGGTCATTTTGGTAGCTTTCCGGCAATGGAAAAACGGCCAAAAATGAAAAAAAACATTGTACATAGCAAGATTTTGCAGGTTTTTGGATGCTAGAGCATTGAAAACACTGCAAAAACAAGTGTTTTGGACTGACGTTATAGCAAAAAACGTGTAAATTACCGTATGCTTGACTGGAAGCATTACAAAAACACTGTCAAAAGCAATGTTTCGGAAGGATTTACTGCCTTTATGGCAAAAAACGTGTAAATTACCGTCTGTTTGACTGGAAACATTGGAAAAACACTGTCAAAAACAATGTTTTGGAAGGATTTCTTATATATATGTTGGAGTTGGCTACCGGCATTGGAACATGGAAAAATTGAAAAAAACACTGTAAATAGCGGTATTTTCAACGGTTGGGGAGATAAGGGAATTGGAAGCATTGTCGAACATGATGTTTTCGACCGGTTTTATGGCGACAAAAGTGTAAAGTACCGTGCTTTGAAGGAAACCAGTGCAAAAACATGGAAACACATTCAAAGAACACGGGATTTGGGGGACTATCTAGGCGTCGTTGTCTAGCTATTTGAAATTCCGCAGCTTGGAGAACCTCCAAGGGAGGGAAAAGTGAAAATTCCATAGCTTGGGAAGCTGTCACGGCGGGGAAAAGTGAAAATTCCCTAGCTTGGGAAGCCCCCACGGGGGGGGAAAGTGAAAATTCCATAGCTTGGGAAGTTGTCACGGCGGGGAAAAGTGAAAATTCCCTAGCTTGGGAGCCCCCACGGGGGGGAAAAGTGAAAATTCCCTAGCTTGGGGAGCCCCCACGGGGGGGAAAAGTGAAAATTCCCTAGCTTGGGGAGCCCCCACGGGGGGAAAAGTGAAAATTCCCTAGCTTGGGGAGCCCCCACGGGGGGGAAAGTGAAAATTCTTAGCTTGGGGAGCCCCCACGGGGGAAAACCACCCTTAGCCCCTCTCACGGACCGAAATAAACCTGCGGTGTGGGCGGCCACCCCACGCGAAGCGGGGTGAATATAATATACCCTTGCTTGACGCAGCAAACAAATGAAATGGCCAGCCATCACATGGCTTCAATTTGGGGTCCATCCGATTTGGGCCCAAGTTGAGACCGTCCGGGCCCAAGCTGGGCCCAACCCGGGCCAATTTGCGGAGTCAATGCGATGCGCTGAAAACTTGCGCTTTTACCATTACTTTTAGTGTTTTTTTTGCTTTGACGGGGGCTCAAGCCGCAAGTTGGAGCCAACTGGCCCGAGTTCGGCACAAGTTAGGCCCAAAGTTGGCTCGTGCTCAGCCCAACTTTGGCCAAGGACGGCCACGTTTGAGTTCAGTCGGCTGCCACGAGCCGGCTTCTTTCCTCTCTGTCCTATTCACTGGCTTAAAATGTCATGGTGAATTATCAATTGGGCAATCACTCCACCATTTTCAGACACCCGTATCTGGAACCTTGTCAGTCATCTCTCGAAATGGTTTCTGCAGCCAAGAGAAGCTGGCGGTAACCTGCAGCCCGGTTGCAGATCTACCCCCTGTCAGCCACTGTTGGCCAGCACAACCATCTGTACATCTGGGAGACCAGCCTTGACTCGAGGAAGCACCTGCAAAATGGCAGGTGAACTAAGCATGGCTTGCAGCAATGGCCACTTGAAATGAACGCAGCTACATGGTGTTGCGTTAAACCAAATAAGTTCCACTTATGCCAGTGACTTGCAGTCCTGAGATCACATCTTTCAAAAGACTGGGTCATTATCACGATGTAAATTGGGACTGATGGTCCACGCTCCCTTCGTCACCCTTCCTGACTCGCAGATGCCTTCTTGGGTGCATTCTCTTTCTCGCGAGCTGAACCCAGATCCAGATCCTTCACCTTGCTAGGGTCCAAAGCGCCAAGTACACTGAGGAAGCGGTTCCTTCGGCCATCGCTTGGCAGGCTTGGAGAAATGCCATCAGCACGGTTCGTTTGAAGCGCCACATCCGCAACAGGTGTTTCCTAAAAATGGGGGACCCCACTTTATTATCCAGAAATCATGTGTTCAATGCCTTAGACAAGGGAATACCAATGGGGTACCCCACTTTTAAGGGAAACCCAATTTGCATGTACCTCACATGCAAAATTTGAGCGGCGGTCCCGGTAGATGGGCGAGGTTCAGCGGAGGCTCTTCTGGGAACCTTGATGTGATTCTCATCTTGTTCCGCCTTCTCTCCCTGCCATTCAGCACTTTTGTTCAGCTTTAGAAGCGATATCGCAAAAGCCAAGAGATCATAGTTGTGTGCTGTTGTCCTTATGCGCTCAACCTATTGAACAAGATGAAAAACACAAAATGGAACCCAGCAAGCAAATATGATCAGCGCCTCCTTAGACTCCTTAGACTCTTTAGCATTTTTGCTTGCCTTGGAAGCTGTGATGAGTCAAAAAAGGAAAACACGCTCAAAAGGGGGAAGGAAACCCTCAGCCAAGAAACGACACTTCATCTTGAGCCGTGTGGCAACCTTAAAAGAAACACCAATGACAACCAATATTCTATCCATCCTACACATTCCATGAACTCCTTTTTGCTTCCACAATTATCGAAGGAAGTTTAGAAGTCAAACTTCCGACAATATGGACAGATGAAAAGCAGAGCAGGGCAGAGGCAGAGAGAAGAGAAAGAGTAGAAGAGAGAAGATCAGAAGAGAAAGAGTCAGAAGAAAGAAGATGCAGATGCGCGAAAAGGTAGGAAAGTCGCGAAACACTGTGTTTTTCCAATGATTTGTGGCTCTGGAGGGTCGAAAAGTAGGCTCGCTAAAGCGGCGGGTGCGGAGCCAGCTGGCCAGATGAGAGATGAAAATTTGCACGCCGTTGTGGCGCGAAGCACATTTTGAAGTCAAAATGTACAAAGCACACCATTCTCGGACCACTTTTGGAAGTTGCGATGTCGAAAAAGTGCACGCCGTTGTGGCGCGAAGCACATTTTGAAGTCAAAATGTACAAAACACCACATGTTCGCGCCACTTTTGGAAGTTGAGATGTTGAAAAAGTGCACTCCGTTGTGGCGCGAAGCACATTTTGAAGTCAAAATGTACAAAACACACCAGGTTCGGACTACTTTTGGAAGTTGAGATGTCGAAAAAGTGCACGCCGGTGTGGTGCGAAGCACATTTCCAAGTCAAAATGTACAAAACACCACATGTTCGCGCCATTTTGGAGGTTCGGATGTTGAAAAAGTGCACGCCGTTGTGGCGCGAAGCACATTTCCAAGTCAAAATGTACAAAGCACCACTTGTTCGCGCCACTTTTGGAGGTTCGGATGTTGAAAAAGTGCACGCCGTTGTGGCGCGAAGCACATTTCGAAGTGAAAATGTACAAAACACCACATGTTTGCGCCACTTTTGGAGGTTCGGATGTTGAAAAAGTGCACGCCGTTGTGGCGCGAAGCACATTTCCAAGTCAAAATGTACAAAACACCACATGTTCGCGCCACTTTTGGAGGTTCAGATGTCGCTGAAGACACTACACTACAGGACATTACACTACACTACACTCCAGTACATTACATTACACTACATTACACTCCAGTACACTCCACTACACTAAATTACACTACACTACACTACATTGCACTGAATGACACTGCACACAGATAGACAGGTAGACAGCTAGACAGATAGACAGATGAAAGGAAGAGATCGATAGACAGGTAGGTAGATGGATACATAGACAGATCGATGCATCGCAAGATCCATAAATACATCGAGAGATAAATCGAAAGATAGGTGGCTAGATAGAGAGACAGATCGATCAATAGACAGGTAGATGGAACGACAGATGGACACACAGATCGCTAGATCGGAAGATCGCTAGAAGCGTCCATGCCCAGATACACTCATGGATAGCTAGATAGATCGATGGATGGCTGGAAGAAGAGAGAGACGGACAGATGCATGGATGAATCGATAGAGAAACAGAACGAAGAACATGGTGATGGATAGCTGTGGACATGGATGAAGAGATGGACGGAAAAAAAAAACTAACAGAGAGAAGTAAGTGGATGGATGCATGGCTGGATAGACAGAAAGATGGAGAGTTTAATAGTTAGGTGAATAAACAAATCGAACGATAGCTACATGAATAGACAAGTAGATAGGTTTATGGCTAGAAAGGTAACTCTGTAGATAGATGGCGAAAGAGAGAGACAGAGAGAAAGAGAAAGAGAAAGACAAAAAAGCAGAAACACTCAACCACCTTTCAATCCATCAGTGGGTTCGCTCTGCCATCCCTGATTCACAACAACCAAGCTCTCCTATAGGTTTCCTATTTTTGAAACTTCCGCCACCGCCTTGTTCGGTACTACTGGTATATTCTTACCAAATAGTCAACACCCCAAGTTCTCCGATCAAATGTCCCAACCTTTTCAAAGGACTCCTTCCTCTTCCCCAAACCCAAAAGGGATTCCTTGAATCCTCTGGGGCCCCCGGACCAATCGGGGGCTTCCTCGGGGGCTTCCTCGCGGAGATTGTCGGGCCCCTGCCGGACCCGAGGCTGAGGGACTTCTGGAAGCACTTTTGGGTGAAGGCACTGGCTTGGTTTCAGCCTCCGGCCTCAGTGGAAATGTTGGATCTGTTGGAAAATATCCAAGTTCTCGTGGCAGATGATGGATCAAGTCACCTATGAAATAGCAGGAAGTAGCATATTTGGGGCGATAATATCCATGAATCCCAGCCATTTTGAGGTCAACAGAAAGGTACCAGGGTTTTGACCCATAGCCATGTGATGTCATTGATGGATGATTAATGTGTGTATTCATATATTATATATATATATATACAGTACATGTGGCCCAGGCCAGCAATCCCCCCACGTCACTGTGTGTACGCTGTATGTAGGAGGCTCTATGTAAGATATGGTTTATACACCCCACCCCTTGTGGGATGGGTGGGGGCCAGGTAGTATGTCACTAGCATGTAAGGCAAAAAGTAGGTATGTGGCTACAATGCCACGCCCTCCCTATGGGATGGGCAGGTGTTTAAAAAGTACCATGTAGATAGTGTATAGGTAGCACATGGCTTGCACGTATGTAAAGCATATGAGATCTTGACAGTAGCTAGTATATGGCCACTATAAAGGTACTTTACGAGCAGTAATAGGTTGTAAATAGCGTGATGCAGGGTGTAGCTTACCCCCACGCACCCCGCCTGTGGGATGGGTGGGATGCTTTAGAGGTATCATGTAGGTAGTGTATAGGTAGCACATGGCTTGCACGTGTGTACAGCACAGGAGATCTTGACAGTAGCTAGTATATGGCTACTATGAAGGTACTTTGTGGGCAGTAGTACGTTGTACGTAGATTGTATGAGCATATAGGCAGTCGTGAACACTGCACGGAGGTATCCTGTTAGGTAGTGTATAGGTGGCACGAGGCCAACCTGGTTGTGGATGGCTAGGCCACCCCCATGGGGGTGCCGGCCGCCAACCGGCCGGGACCATATAGTATATTTACAAATATATAATATGAATAAAAAAGGTGGTCAAATACCCCAAATGTGGTTGACAATGGTTGATTCCCATGGAGAATATGATAATCCGCAATTAACTTAAGGATAGCTTGATAACTCCCCAAGTATTGTCTCCCTACCAGGATGTTTGAAACTGCAGAGGTATTTATAGAGGACCATGGGCCCATGGGAATGAAAGCTGTGGAATGCTGCAGTTTCGCCCTCTGTTGCACGTGTTGACGTGGAAAAATGTGTCAAGTCCATGGAGAATGGGGAACATGGGAAAGCCAAAGGCTGCTTGTATAACCAATCCAAGCATGAAAGGATTATTCTGTGAGTCTAAAACCATGGGATACCTCCAAAATCCACCAAATCGCATGAAATACGCTACTGTCATTGGAAAACGGATGATAAACACCATGATAAACACCATGATAAACCCGGGGTATCCATTGGTCCATGGGTATCCCGTTCTCAGCCGTCGACTGGATTTCTGGAAGCTGCACCTCCATTTTCTCAGGACTTTGCTGGACAGCAATCTGTGCCTGCGTCGCCTCGTCGCCGTTGAACCATGGTGGAAAGCCAAATGTCGAGAATCTCACAGTAGCCACAATAGCCCTGAAAATGTTCAGCAATTTCTGGAAATATGGGAAAATAATGGAAAATATAGGAAAATGGAGTTTTGAACCATGGAATTGCTGGCCACTCGACTTTCAGACAAAGCCAAATATCTGCCGAACTTTGTAGCATCCTAGCTTTGCGTCACACTGTTTCTCGCAACGCATCATCTGCTTGAGCAGTGTGCCTCAGAATCACCGGGTCCTATCGACTGACGGCGATGATTGCGGAGGGCCGCAGCCACCTTCAGAGTCATGTGGCAGCCATAGGACCATGGCACGATCAACAAACTCAGGGATACAACATGATACAACTACGTATGGGTTTGGACCCTGGACGCCACGTATGTTCAAAAAAAATCTGTGAAGCTGTGTACGCGTTCTAAACATTCCAAACGTGTCCGGTCAATGGCAGCACCTCTTCATCGTTCACACCACGCCGCGGGCGTTGTGGTGACACTGGAAGTAGAAGAGTATTTTTATGTCCCTGGCAAAGAGAACAAGTTTGGAAAATATATGAACAAATTGCATTGCAAGCACATTTTAGTTGCAAACTGCATTGAACTTCAGCACTGCGTTTCGCAACTCTTGCAGCTTGGGGACGGAAGATCTCATGTGTGGTTGCGTTGATGCATCACCCTGGCCAGAGTTGCCATGGCAGCATCGCTTGCAATGCGGTTTTTCGGAGCCACATCTAGCTGAAGTTGGTGCTGAGCATCTGGCTGAACCTGCTCTGGAGCCTTGTCGTGAAGACTCTCCCGAAATAACTTCACCTGTGGTACCTTTCACGTCGTTGTGTTTGGCAAAAAGGGTGGCGTACCGGAATCAATGATTCAACAGTTGCAAAATTCCGTGAATATTTTCAATTCAATCAACTTAAAAAAAAAAAAAACAATCATCTTTCATCAACACAGCTTGAATTTGCCTCGAGCTCTTGGTGCGATGATTTGTAGCATCTCCTTGGTGTGAGCTATGAAGCCATATGAAGCCATCAACCGAATCAACCATCAATGAATTCCTTGAAACTCAGTCAATGTGAGCTCGGTATAGTGCCTCCTCCTCTTCATCCTCAGAGCCTCACAACGCTGACAAAAGCAACATGAAACAAGATGTGCAGTTACAAGTTATAATATGTTATATAGGGGTTCCCAAAAAGACAGAAAAGCTTTTCCAGGAAGTTGTGGATGATGCTTCCCCCATAATTCTCAGGTTTCCAACTTTCTTATCCATTTTGGGGGGTGCTATATTGATCTGAGTCTAGTTGCCTTGTTACAAGAGTGTAAGGAACATCACGCAACAAGTATACTCTGAGGCCATGTCTTTCAGTTTCACTGCTCTGCTCCTCTTCTTCTTCTTCCTCCTTCAGGCAATGCACGTTCATCGGCGCGAAGGTCAGATCCATGGCTTGCGAATGGCGAGAGAATGGCATCAAACATCCAAAATAGCATCGAACCTGATCGCTTGCACTGGTCTCTGTCTTCTTGTCGAATTCAATGCTTTCCCTCTCTTTGCCTTTTCTGTTTCGGTTGACAATGCTCCTGAGACCAAGAGATACATGGTCACATCAAGGATTCAAGAAAAACACACAGAAGAAATCATTAAATGAGAAGGAACAATGTGGGACACCCAGCAATAAATCTCCAATTGGTAGATTTATATCACCCATCACCTATTTCTGGGATTTCCCAGAAAAGTCATTGGGGATCATGCTCTTAGTTTTCCAAATTCCACCAACTCTCAGGTCGGCGCCGTAGCCCGAGAATTGCTGAGACTCTGCTTGGAGCCTGCGGAATTCGTTCGGTGGCTTTCACAGATGGCCATTGTTAAACTCGGTGAATTCGGTAAAATGATGAACCTGCCAATTATATATTTGGGCGTATATATGGTATTATATAGTATATTATTGCGCAGTTTCTTTTTTGAACAAACCTGATAAATGTCAGATCTTTCTGCGGCCTCTGCTTTCTTGAACTGCTTCACTTTCACAGGACGCTCCTGGCCCGCATCCCAGGAGCAGCGTTCAATCAGTCATACCTCTATACAGTGCCGGTTGAGAGGGATTCCCAGAGTGGGCAATCAGAATTCCCAATAAACCAGGTGGATTAAAACCCCCACATCCGATCGACAGCGGTGGCGGTTGCTGCTCAACTGTGGTTACGCACGAGGCACCAGCTGCCTTTGTGCCCAGCAGCTGCACACAATCTGCTTTGCAGTACGCTTGCCAGGCCTGGAGCGTGAAGGGAATTGACCAGGGAAAATGATGAAAGTCATGAGATTATTAGATGGAATGGAGATGAAGGGGGTATCCGTATCCGCCGTATCCTATCTTCAGACACTGTTGAGAGATGTTGAAAAAGGGTCAGCCGACCTGGAGTTCTTGCTCCCGTGCCCGACCACGCCTCTTCAAATGCGACCAAAGAAGGAAAAACAGAAAAGTCCAAGCAGAACCTGAAGAATGCAGCGAAAGACCTTGGGAAATGGCGGATGCAAGTGCATCACACAGGCTTGTGAGTGCTGCCGGTTCAAAAACCAGTCGTAATGTCTCAAGTGACGTCAATTGAGCTGTTGATCTTGCTACAAAGATTCTTGAGTTCCCTGACATGTGCGAGACAGGTTCATTGCGTATCTTTCCGTTCTCATCCTGCACTCCAACTGAGACAGCTCTGTCAAGATAACACTCCTATGAGTGTAAACAACTACAGGAATGTATGGACTATACATCGAATCAAGGAAGCAAAAAGGGCTCTCAACAAAACGCATGACAAATGGAAGAGTATCTCAGACATGAGTGGCAAGCTCAAAAGTGCCTCTTTGACTGCAGTCTTTTCCTCGTAGCAATACCTACCACCAGCCGCCATCGTCATTTCGTCCCCATGCCGAATCATTTCGTGTTCGGCTGAGGACCATACGCATTGAACAACTCCTCAAAGAGTCCATGGAACTTCATCAAGATGTACAGGCAGCCAGGCTGGGACAGGGGGACGCACGATACGAACTTATACGCAGATGAACATGTGTTTCCCTGTTTTAAACTGGTGATATCTACCATGTTTATCCATTTTTGGGGCACTGTAAACCGATTCAGGTACACCCCACCTCGACGATTTCATCCCGGATGTACTGGTTGTGGGCCACGATTTGCTCGATTCGGTCAGCGGTGTTCTGCGGTGTCCGGACATCACGGAAAGCCCAAAAGTTGATCCTGTTTGGTACTCAATGGGTCAACAAAGGGGTACCCCAACATCCAATGACTTGTCATCTATCATCACTTTCCGAAACCAAACTGCCACAAAATGGACATAGGCACCACTTCACCACCCAAAATTCGACTCCAGACGTCAAACTTTATCCCGGCCTCTGGCATGCACGAATCCGTGATGTTATTGATCCAGAAGCGAAGCCCCCTTTCCAGCGATGCTTCGCTGGGTCGAAAAGGAGACCAAATATGATCCCCAGTAAACTCAGTAAACCTGTTATCAACAACATGGAGGTTTCCTAAAATGTTGGTACCCCCCAAATCATCCATTTTGATAGGATTTTCCATGAAATAAACCATCCAGCTATCATGGTACCTCCATTTTAGGAACCTCAGTGGACCCCCAGGATGCTGTCGCACCTGGTCCACACTGCCAGAGGGCCCTGGAACAGTTGGGGTGGCGAGCCGTGCTTGCCAAACATGTCCATCCGCCGCTCCAAAATGGCCTGGGCAGTACTGTAGGAATCACTCGAGTTTGTCTTCCATTGCTGTGGCCATCATCATATTAATAATTGTTATTGGTAATAGTGACAAGAACAATAGCAATAATATCCATATATAACAATAACAGTAATAACAATAACAACAATAACATTAACAATGATTGTGATGGTGATGATGATGATGATGATGATGATGGTGATGATGATGATGATGATGATGATGACCATCATAATCATCATCGTCGTCGTCATCATCACTGTGCGTGGGATTTCTGCGCCTCCTCCGTGATGTCCATCGCCAAAGCCTGAACACACCAAGAAAAGACAGGATTCCAAATTAGTTGAGTTCTGGCCCTGGCCACCACTGGTAACACACTACATCTTGCGTGGCCTCTTGGCAGTCCTTCACTTTCTTTTGTGTCTCGCGTGCGAGCACCTCAGGAAGAGTTGCAGTGACGAGCGAAATCAAAGTCTCAGTTCTGACTCTGTAATCTGTGAAAAAGCCTGAGCTGCGAGATGATGCTGCAGTGGCCAGAACAACCGATTAAAATTAAATCAAAACAAGACATATGTTTTATTCATATACATGATCATGTTCATCAATCTTGTTCTCTGTTAATATTATTATTAATATAAGAATAATTGAACATAATTGGACAATAATATACTAAAAGATAAACCTCAGATATACTGATATACATCTGATATAACGAGATAAACAAAACATAACACGATCCGCCGATCCGCTATCGCCTCCGCAGTGCGTTCAGCTTTCTGCAGGCCCTCTTCAAAGAGCTCCCAGGCCAGTGCCGCCGGCATGTTGATCTGCGCCGCCAAAGATGTCAGAAAAATGCCGGGAGAATTGCAAAGTGCCGGGAAATGCTGGGAAAACTTGATGAAAATCTGTCAGAATCATATCAGTGTCATATCAGTGTCATATCTGTCATTTCATCTATGAAAAGAGATCAAAAGAGTAAAAGTTCGGATTTGGAGAGTTGGCTAAGGTGTGCCTGCATCATCAGCTGGATGACGAGTGTAACGCAATGATCGATGTTTGCAAAACGCGCAAGCCCTGAGCAATTCGCAATGATGAGGACTGGCTGGAAGAGCTTTCCACGCTGCAATTGCTACCAGCCAATGGTCCATGTCTTGAGACCATCTGAAAGCTGAGGGCTCGACCCCCAGAGCCAAACTTGGAAATGTTATCAAAGAGTCTGACCTTGTACTCAAATGTAAAAGAATTCTTCTTGCCTGAAAACTGCATGCAAATAACTCTTCCATCTGCACCAAAAATGAAGCCACTGTTGAGAGCTCAGCCGACTTGTGATACGTTGGACGCTCGGTATCCTCCGCTTCTATACTGACCTCAGAAGATTGCTGTTGGTATCCAGTCCGTAGCACCACGCCAAACCAAATGTGTCTCAATAAAGTCCAGAGTAAAACCCTGCTGAGGCACCAACGAGGTTACTGTCTAAAATAAAACGACAAAAAGATGCGCGGAAGATCACCTTGCACCCACACGCTCCATTCGAGTCTCTAAGAAATTGAAAGATAAGGGTTTGTCTCAAAATGGTGGATAGCCCAAAACGGCCATGTCAGTAGGGAAAATGATGACAATTTAGGGGTACCCCATTTTCAGACAAAGCCAGAAGTCTCTGATTGAAACTCACTTGGAAGTTATCTCAATCCCCTGCAAGAAGTCTGAAAATAAGGTACCTCCAGCTAAAATCAGGTCCCCCAAATTCCCTTGGTATTCGTTTATCATCGTTTTCCACATAAAAATATGGCCATTTTGGTGGTAAATCTCCCATTTTCAGACACACCCAGGTTGGTATGTGCAACCTGCCGCTGCGCCTCTTGATGTACTCCTGGGTTTTGTGGCCTTGCCACCTGTCAATGGGATGACCACATAACGCCATGAAAATGTCCAGCAGTTGATTTCTTAGATTTCTTTAAGAGAAGATTTGCAGGAAACCCCTATGTTTGATCATAAACACATATAAACACTATGGTTTCCTGTATATTTTCCCTTCAACCGATCCATTGCAAACTGGATCATGACACTTTTCCAAGTTGCCAAGAGTCAAAACCTTGGAATGAACCGGTTTTCACATCAGATTTTCGCTGGTTGTTATCGTCATCCTCCAATTCAGATCGGAAAATCGTAGCTGTGCTCCATCCTTGGATCTTGGTGAACCTTGATGAGATCCCCACAGTTTTCCCTAGAGATCTCCAAGATCCTGCCTGGCTGTAAAGGACCAGTACCTGACGGATTGCCGTCTTCTTTGAGGTCGAAAGTTCCCCTCCAGCCTGGGTGCCCGCCGGTGATCCATCATTTTTGGGATTTGATCAGAACTAAAATTTGTACCCTCCAGTAAACTAACATAGCTATTGAAAAATGCCATTTATAGTTGATGTTCCCATTAAAAATGGTGATTTTCCATAGTTATGTTAGTTTACCAGAGGGTAAATGGGGGAGATCCAACTGGCAATGAAATACTTCAGAAAGTGGTCTGACAACCATGCGATGGAATGGTGTCTCCCACAATGTTCAAACATATCCAAAACTCAATTTCCAAGAAATGGTCTTGGTTTTGGTGCCTTCCATTTTGAACCATAGCCAAATGTGAGCATGGCTCAAAGTCGGTCACGCTTAAAATCTCAGCCGTTCGCCGCTGGCATATCCTTCCCATGAATCTCTGGAGCAGCACGGGCCATCTCCCCCTGCAGTGCTGTTCAGTGCAAATCGGATTCTGTTGGCGATTAGAGTGAGGTTCAATCCTTGAATCCTTGAAGCTGCAACATGACTATAAACATTATAAACCTATATATATATAAACCGATATATAATAGTTATAATACCACTGATTGTAGATCCGACAGAAAAAAATGGCAGGGTTTTTGAAAAGGAGCCACACTGGCCTCCACAAACTCAGCACTGGCAAAGCCCTCCTCGATGTAAGGAACCACCCCGCTATCCATGTTCATGTCTCCGTCTGGTTTCCTCAAAAAGTCGAAGAACCTCAGAGGCAAAGGAGCTGCTGAATTGGACATGGATGCATGAGATATGCCGTCTGAAGATGTTTGAAGAGGAACAGGATGCTACGCACTACATGCTAAGCGCCAGAAGAACGATGAAGAAACTGATCATTCATTGTGAAATCAACTGGATCTACAGGAAAATCTACAGGAAAAGTGATGTATTGTTAACCCCTGCAACAACGGTCCGGTTTCCTGCGGACTCTCCCAACAACCTGGCGAAATGCCCGTTGGGCCCCGTTGGGGCCAGGGCTGACAGACCTGCCGACGGTGAACACGCTCTGAAGCTGCCTCCAAATTGTTTGTCCTGCGGCTGCCAAGTTGGCTGCGGAAACCAATGGTTTGGGGGATTGGGGGGTTGTCCAACTCTCAAAAACACCAGTTAATCCTTGCGTGTTTTTTTTTTAACAACCGATCAGTCCAAGCGTTCCTTGATTTTGCAACATGTTACCGTACCCAAACGAATAAAAAGCCACACCTTCAATCAAGGGAAGTGGGTATGCGTCAGAATTATCAACCCCCAAGTTCTGGATGGTACAAAGAATGACCATAGGCCCATAGGCATTTCTGGGTCAAAAACCAAAACGAGCTCCGCTGCAGGGCGCGCTGCACCTTCGCCAAGACTCAAGGAGCTGGGACTGAAACCTCTTGTCGCACTCGACAGCCCTTACCTGGCAACATCTGGCAACACTAGGCTTCACAGGCTTGACTCACCATTGCTGTCATGGCAGTAGGCAATGTGGGAAATTGGTTTGGAGAGTTGCGAAGATTGGACAATGACACCAGACTTTGATTCAAAGCAATGTCAAATGACTAAGTGTCAAACAAGTCCTGTAGTGGCTCCCTTCGCTTCAGATTTCCTAAACGTATGCAAATGCCGCAGTGGTTGCACACACAGCTCAAAAACGACTTACTTCTCAAGATTCTCAAAACTCCTTCTTTGCTCAGAAAGGGATTGTACTTTCAAAAGGTTTAAACCGGGCACAGCTGAGCCATGCACTTCTCCCGAGTGCGGGATGGAGTTGTGCTAGGCCTCCAGAATCACTCTTTACAAGAATCCAACATCCAGGCTCAACAAACCTTACCTGGAACCTTAAGACCTCCGCTGCAAATTTGCAACCTGACATGGTCAGATGTGAAGCGGAGCGGTTGAAATCTTTTGATACCCCAACAGAAGGGTGCTTGCCTTCAAATATACCTGGTTTCAAAAGCCAAGGTCCAAAAGCTGAGCTGCTTTGCAGCCAAGCTCTTCAGCCAAGCGCAAAGAGCTCTTGGAATGTGTGGCCAATGACCACCATCAGGGAAGACACAGTTGGGTCACAACTTCGCAACATATCTCAACGCAAGAGTTGAAGAAATATAAATGCATTTGGAATACAATTAGAAGTGTTTGAGAATTCTCAACCACAGTTTTCAGAGGTTCCATTTGGTGCTGTGGTGATAGATCTCTATGACGTGCCACACTTCTCAGAGCTGGTGCATGAAAAGGAGCTCACAAGCTTGCTTGCGGATTAGCCTGACCAAACAATTTGCGACAGAACACCTGTGGTTTTTTGTCGAAGTTTCTGATATCGTTTCAGCCTAGCGGCCACTATCAATTTGGCGGCAAATCTGTGACACACTCAGAGTCACGACCCGTCCAGCTTGCTGGCAGCCCAGCCCAGCTGGATGCCATTCGGACCTCGTTGACAATTCGCTCCATGACCATGTCCGCAATGCCATAAACCTGCACCAAGGCACCAAGGTTTAAACCCAAGGCAAAGTCGCAACTCAGCTGAATCTCAGCTGAATCTCAGCTGAATCATATGCGGAAATCATTGAGTTTGACTGAGCTTATGACCAATTCAAAGTTGTCGTTCCAGGCTTGCTTGCCCCCACTCTTCAAACTCATTCCCAGCTTCATGCAAGCCTACCAGGTGGCTGAACTGTGGCTGTGTGAATATGCATCTTGTATCTTGCGGCTATGATACTCTTTACACATCTTTACACATCTTTACACAGCAACGGCTGATCAAACGAAGTCCACTAAGTCCACTATGAGATCCTCCATGGAGCGGGGAGGCGGCCTCAGCTTCTTTGCCCTCACCACTTGGCGACTTGGCAAACGCCTGGGCGTCGAAGAACCTCAGAACCTTGCAGGACCTTGCAGGACCTACGCTGGAACAATCTGATAAACACACATTACTCGAAATCGCCACATGTAGCTGCAACTGAAGAAGCGCACAAAAGTCTCCAAAACTCGGACAGAAGCCTGCAGACGGTCTCGCGTCAGTTTCTGCATCAGGATGCGGCTGTCACCTTGAGAAGAGGCAATCACTATCACCATCAATCGACTTTCTCAGGTCATTGACGGTGTCTTGAGGGAAGGACCCTCGGCGAACTTGCAGCACTGCAAGTAGTCCAACTTTTCAAAACCAGTTCCACCTCAGCACACAGTGGTTTAACGCTTCTGAGTTTTGATCACCAAAAATATATAGACAGCACTAGACTGATGCCAGCCATGACTGTCATACACCATATGTGTCATGAAGATATATATATATGTATATATATATATATATATAGAGAGAGAGACATGTAACTTGTAGACGATGATACACATGACAGCGTGCCTCTCAGCTCCCTTGGAAAATCCGAAAAGCTCCCAAGTACATCCGAGTGACCCATGAGAGCATAACTGCCTAGCTCTTGCTTCAGCTTAAAACAGGTTGAGATCGATGTCTCGATGGCCTTTACCTCGCTGAAAGGCGATGTTCGGGTTGCATTCTATCAGTTTGAATGCATAAGCTGCCCATGGATGGCCATGGATGCCCATGGGACATCAACGAACCACAACGAAAAAAGTGTCAAGCCTTAAGAACTGCCACCATCTCAACCAGTTTGCTGTCAGGGATCTTGTCGTTGCGAAGACCTCGAGAAGGCCGTTACGCCGTTGAATCATATCAGGCTCTTTGCAAAGCCAGGGAACTATACTCAGAGAACAAAACCATGGTACCATAGTAGATGCTGGAATGGTAGCAGCTCTGTTTTCTGCTTGTAGCTTCACAGCACAAATCCAAACAATGATAGATCTGATAGGCTCAGTCTAAGTGACACATCATTTTGGGGATGCACTCAATGCCAGGTGACATTCACAGAGCTTAGACTCCACCACTCTGGAAAGTGCCTGCGGGGACTGAAAGAAGCCGACTCTGATTCTCAAGGAAAATCTACATGAAACGAAACCATGGTTTGTTTCCCATGGTTTTTTTCCGATCCAATATTCAATAGAATATGGTACCGAAATTAGAGGGACAAATAGGGCTTGCATAAGGCCTACGTGAGGGAGCATTGACGAAATCTCATGGCGTTATATAGATATATATATATATATTTATATGGTACAGTACCTCCATTTAGGTACCTGCATTGGTACCATTTTGGGCTTCAACCACTCCACTGAGAACAGAAATTCCGACCAAACAATTCACTTTTTTCTTCAGTCTCCGCTCTCACATTACACGAATGTGGCCGGAGATGTCAGGGGCTGTTGTCTTCAGTCACTGCCATGCCTCAGTCCACGGGGTACAGTAAAGCAAGGGATTCAATTGCTCATCGTGCTCATCCCCACCTTTTAGATGTTTCTTACCAAGTATCCAGTTATTCACTTTTTTGCATCCCGCACTATTTCCATATTATATAATATATATATATTATGTTATATATTATATATATATTATATTATATTATATATATATTATATTATATATATATTATTATATATATATTATATTATATATATATTATATTATATATATTATATTATATATATATATTATATTATATATATATTATATATATATATATTATATTATATATATATATATTATACTATATATATATTATATATATAATATATATTATATATTATATATATTATATATACTATATTATATATATAATATATAATATATTATATATATATTATATATATATATCGTCTCCATCAGCGAAGGACACAGCCTTAAATCAGCCAAAGCACTACCTCGCACTGCCAAGTGCTGCAGGGAGAGCTCGTGTTCGGCAAAAACCGCTGCGCCCCAGCACAAAGCGCAAGCACTCAGCAGCTCCAGGATCAAAAGGATCCTGGTCGGGTCGCTAGTCACCACCATTGCAGTGAAATTCAAACAGTTGCAGTTGTCACTGCCGACTCTGACTCTTGTTCCTGTCAGTGTACGATTTTACATATTATTTCATCTCACTTGCATATCATGGAAACAAAATAACGTGAGCGTGGCCTTCTTTTCAAGCGTCGCTGGTCATCAGTATGCTACACGCTTCAACCTGTCCCTGACCACAGGAAAGGAAAATCTCCCAAGTTCACCGCAACTGAGGAAAACACGTCCAGAGCCACATCGAAGCAAAAACCAAAGTGGGACCTGGCACATCTTGTAATCACACATAGTATATATATAATATATATATATGTAATATAATGTATAAATATTTACACATGACATATATTTATGTACAATGTACATATTAGACTTAGATATCTGTAGTAATGTACAAAGTGCAGGCGAGGGCAACCGCACATCCGCTGCTCCTCCTTGGCCACCACGGTGCAGCATGGGGTGCCAATGGAACCGCCACATGGGTTGTTGTGGTAAAGCAAAGCAACCCTAAAAAAAGATCGTGAGGACATGTGAGGGCTAAACTCCGATTCCAAGTTCGTTGTAAATTGTAAAATACCTATCTTTTCTTTGGGGGGTCACTATAAAATACTATAAAGCATCCATTTTTGCCATCTCTTCAAACTGCAAGGATTGCTGGGCTCCACAACTTGCCGCAGGGCTGTAAGTTTCAGGCTGCTCGAAGATGAAAAACCCAGTCTGCCCCAACCTCGGATGGTTGTGCTGTTCTCGAAAGCTCTGGATGCACATTGAAGGAGTGGTACTTCGCTGCACCAAGTTACCATAAAAAGAGGAGTAACCTGAGGCACTACTGTATGTCATGGACTGAGCTTGGCACCCAAGGGAAAAGTAGTAACAGGCTCCGTAACACGAGGCCGATCCTAAACAAAAAAACAGCATAGACAGCGAAGAATTGATTACGAACAAAGACTGCATCTGAGGTGTGCGCCAGGAGCTGTGGTCTGCATTTGCATCTGCACCTAGGCCAAAACACGTTGGCCAAAATGCGTTGGCATCAAAGACTTTAGTGAAGAGGATGGTAAAAGTCAACAATTACCAATTTTTTATGACACACACCAACACTTGCATAGCTTGAAAGGTCTAGGTGACACCAAAAACTAAGAGCATGCCTGGCTCAGGTCAGAACAGCCTACAAAGAGAAACGCGAGGCCAATGATTCCAAACCTCACAGTGATGTCAAGGAAATGTGACTCGGAGCAAAACGAAACGACTAAAAGCTGCACCATTGTCATCAAGTCTCACAGATTCAATTTGAAGACCGGTAGCATCGCAGATTCATGGAACCTTCTGGCACTCCTTCTGTCTTTCAAGCCCTTCCGGAAAGGACATCCAAGGCCATCACCATGTCAACAAACCATCCAGATCCCGGGGACAGGCATCATCACCTCGGTCCACGGATCTCTCGACAGCACTGCTATTCTCAGATCTTCCCGGGTCTTCGACCATGCTCTGCCCCCATGTAGATGGCCCAGGCCTTAGGGACGGATATGCCACTGCTCACTGCTCCATCCGTGAATCCGTGACCCATACCTCTGGTCGACATGACCTGAGTCGCCTACAAAGAGGCAGCCCGGAAGAGCCAGCCCAAGGAGAAGTGCCACCACAAGGCCAGAGCCCCAGCAGCGCTGCACAGGGATCGATGTCAAAGATGAATAAAGATGAGATCTGTATGAGATCTGTACAAGTTCATGATGAACAAAAGACTCTTTGGCCCACTTCATTCAATCCACTTCATACGCACATCTGCATCTAGCTTAGAAATATACACAAAATACGCAAAGGCTGCGTGGAAAATGCCCATCAGATCAATGCATCAAGCCTCCATCCATCTTTGGGTCGGACTTGACAGTAACGCAGCATCGTTAATCTCCACCTGCCAAGGGCAGATGGCAGTTCCACAGTGTGTTCCAGATGGTGTCTTTGGGATCATAACAAGAGTACCATCCGGCGGCCGTCCGGTAATCAAACATGGCTGGCTAGAAATTTCCACCATTTATAGATGATGTTCCAAGCATTTCCAAGCTATAAACCACCAGTGTTGGTGGATTTCCCATTGCCATGTTTCATTACCATAGCAAGACCCTGTTTCTAAAACAGGCCTTTCGCTGACGCCTCAAATTCCGAAGAACAGATGGGAGAGACAGCCTCGTGTCAGACAGAAACGATCTGGAAACCTCAGAACTGGGTCAGAACTGGGTCAACTGGCCTGAGCTTTTCCATCAGCATCGTATGGTACTCCTTTCCATAGAGTAGCCTTGGTGTGATACACAAATTCTCCAAAATTCAAAACACAAATAAAAAAATCAAGCTTTCTAGTCGACGGGCACTCTCTGAGTCACTGAGGCCCGCACGCAGATGCCCAAGCATTCAAAAATACTTCTGGTGGAGAGTCTCTCCTGCGTCGTAATTAAATTCGGAGATCTTGAACTCTTGACGCTTCTTTCAGAGGCTGGTGACTAGAACGACTGAAGAGATTGCATGCTGCAAGTATCAGTTGTGCCCAAGAAAACCGAGTCCTCTGGACGTTGACATACCACGCTCCAAGACCGCGCATGAGATCTCCACGGCTGATAATTTCAGAGCCACTCAGTAAGAGAGCCTATGGCAAAGGCCCAGAAAAGAGGCAACACAGACGTGGGATTGTGCGTTTCAGGACAGTTTTGTGCATGATGTGCTCCATCGGCACTTCAAACCCCCAATCAGCCTCTTGAACCACTGAATCCACCTCACAGCAGGTCAAAAACGGGAGGCAAACAGCTGTGTCGAGAAAAAAAACTGATTTCTTCACATGAATCTGTGGGTCGTGCAGCCACATTTCTGGACCAATAGCTGGATTTCACACCTCATCATCCATCACACGAATCTGCCCATTTAGCTGCTCCATCAAGCGCTTCAGCTCGCGCAGATCAACGCCCTGGAGCTTTCGGTTTGCCCCATCGCAGATGTGTGGAATGATATCTATCTGCTATAGCTGCTATATTACCATATGTTCAGCCGCTTCTTGTATTAGGCGCTGACTTTAGATTGGGATTGTATTTTCGGGCGCTTCATATCTGGTAGAAATCCTTGGTTGAAACAATTTTGTTTCTTCCTGCAAAGTGTAAATCAAAATGCAAAAATCTTGATTTTGGAGGCTACCCCTAATACTGTGATTAGCGTGTACTCCCCCCTCAAACAATTGATGGGTATGCAATCATCAGGAAATTCAAGAAAGCAATGTCCAAGAGACATTTGAAATGGGGCAGGAGATTAAATAAAGACTTCAAATCATGTTTGTCCAATTCCATTCACAGGACAACAGTGCGTGCAAAGCTCCACCGACAGAGATTCAACAGTGCTGCCATGACATTTTCAAATTAAAGTATATTTACTGCAATCTAATTATAATGGTTGATCTATAATGTCTATATATATATTATATATAATACATGTATATAATTATATATATATATATACAGAGAGAGAGAGAGAGGCGAATCATAATTTATGCACAATCAATCAGGCATTCTATTGTCCATTAGCGAAGCATGATCTCAGACCGATGGCATTTGAAGTTATTACCATGGTTGACGACAGTAGACGCTCCTGCACGATGTTGCTATCCCCACTGTTCTTCTCTGAGCGAACTTTGAGCAGCGCAAGCCTCAAGGGTCACTTTGAGCAGTCAATCCATTTCCACAAAATCCAGGATCAAAGGACCCCCAAGGACCCAAGGACCATGTAACTTCGATATGCAAGTGCAGCAATTTGATTTGTCCACGTCGTCCACTGCGAAAAGGAATCTGAGGCAAGAGCAGCTGAAGCTCAGGAAAAGACCTTGTGCCAACAGGTCATGCAAAGATCAAATGAGCAATGAATTGTAAGTTCTACATGGGTTTGTCGGTTTGTCCAACAGAGGGAGAGGCGGTTTCAGACAACCCACCAGCACACCCTTTAGTAAGGGCTTTGCAAGGACTGGAACCCGTGCCGTGCCTGTGACTCAAGGATACTCAAAGCTCGAAAAACATGAAGATACAAAATGATACAGGAAATCAGGAAATGACACAGAAAATGATACAGAGATATACAGAGGCAAGTACAAGAAGTGCATATCTCAAGCAAGAAGGTCGAAGCAACGCAGGACCTGGCGGATGCCGACGCCAACGAATCCAGGATGGCACTTGAGGCTCTGAAAAAATCCTTGCTACGTACTGCTCCTGCTATGTCATGTCTTTGGACACAGAGCGAATAAATGCGAATAGATGCGAGTAGCATTCAAATCCTGACTTCCCGGAGAGTGATCGATTTCGTCGATCACCCCTTTCTGCTTAAGATCCATGGTTTCGTAAAGGCTGAAAGAAAGCGAGAATGGCATTTTCTTCCCTTCTTCCCACCCAATCTGTTGATCAGTGCATAAGCCAGCCAGAGAGACCATCCTGCTTTCGTAAAGCAAGCCGAAGCAGCCAAGTGACTTCGCTGTCCTGGAGTGCAAAGATGATCCAATGGAGAAAGCGGAGAAACCAAGAAACCTTGCAGAGAACTGCCAGCCGCTGGTCGCCTCCCATTCTCGACCTTCGACTTCTCTGAGCAAACTCTGAAGGTCCTCTGCACAAACGGGTGCTGCAGTGCTGCAGGTTACATTCTTCATGTGACCTGGGGCTCCCACCCTCAACTGCGATCTGAAACTGCCACGTCCCCAGCCACTTAAGGTTGGCGTTCCGTCACTCAGCAGCTGCCCAACGTCTCAGCAGGTGATGCTTGGGGTTTTTCTGAAATTGGGTACTCCAGAACCTCGCAGTTGATCATCATGTTCGCAATTTAAGTGCTATGGCTATGGCTGCTATGTTGGAGTATCATCCTTGTGTTTTTCAACACACCCTCTTCAAAATGAAAGGCAATGGATGAAAGTGAAAACTGAAGGGAACATAAATGGCGGGTGTATTCAGCATGATGCATCACCGTTCGGGCCTTCTACAGAGGGATCACTGAAATCCCGCTGCGCCAATGCATCTCCAAACAGCAGTTCCTCGAGTCAGGGCACATGGGTTTTCCCTCTTCCGCAATAAAATGTCCATTTAGAATCTCAAGCACCTGTCTGGTCCAAGGCAGGATCAGCTAATTTCCTACACATGGAAGTTCAAAGTTCAATGTTCCAGATTCTGAATAAATGTCAATAGTTGTCCCATTCAACATTGTCAAAAAAACAAATCAAATTGTCATGATTGGCGAACGGAAAATCCCCCCCATTTAGATTGGTTGGTTCATGGGGAGTCCCTTAGAAATACCCATAAATCCCATCAAATCACCATCAGATCACCATCAAATCACCATCAAATCACCATCAAATCACCATTAAATCACATTAAATCACCATTAAATCACAATTAAATCAAAATTAAATGTCCTAAACCAACCTGCATGTTCTACCAAAATAATCCAACCATCCCATTGAAAAAGATCCACCTGCCATGTGCCTGCATGTTGAATGCATCTCTAGCTCGCAAACGCCGTTCCCCTGCTTGATCCCGTGGGACTGGAACTGGAGGCCAGGGCCTCCGTTAGATGAAGGGGATGGCAGCACAAAAAAAAAACGTAACGTTGGGGTTTAACCACGGAAAAATCTGGAAAAATGATGGGTATAGGTTTGACCATGATGTTTTTATTTCTTGATGGGTTCTCCCCTACCTTATGAATCTTAAGGCAAATCTATGAAAATCTGATGAGAAAATATGATGATGAATAATGTGACCTACTAGTGTCTACCCCCAAACGATTGAAGGGGACTGTATAAATGCCAATTTTTGAGGAACATGGTCTGAAAAGAAGTCATGAATCTATGTTCAGCGAAATTTCCTTTGTTGGGCTCACGGGTGAAGTCATGTCTCTCTTTCTGTCATTTTATCCTTGTTCTTCCTTCCCCTGTTGTTTTTTTTCCGTGGTTCCTTTCCTTTCTTCCTTTCTTCCTTTCTTCCTTTCTTCCTTTCTTCCTTTCTTCCTTTCTTCCTTTCTTCCTTTCTTCCGTTCTTCCTTTCTTCCTTTCTTCCTTTCTTCCTTCCTTTCTTCCTTTCTTCCTTTCTTCCTTTCTTCCTTTCTTCCTTTCCTCCTTTCTTCCTTTCTTCCTTTGTTCCTTTCTTCCTTTCTTCCTTTCTTCCTTTCTTCCTTTCTTCCTTTCTTCCTTTCTTCCTTTCTTCCTTTCTTCCTTTCTTCCTTTCTTCCTTTCTTTCTTTCTTCCTTTCTTCCTTTCTTCCTTTCTTCCTTTCTTCCTTTCTTCCTTTCTTCCTTTCTTCCTTTCTTCCTTTCTTCCTTTCTTCCTTTCTTCCTTTCTTCCTTTCTTCCTTTCTTTCTTCCTTTCTTTCTTCCTTTCTTCTTTCTCTTCCTTTCTCTTCCTTTCTTCTTTCTTCCTTTCTTCCTTTCTTCCTTTCTTCCTTTCTTCCTTTCTTCCTTTCTTCCTTTCTTCCTTTCTTCCTTTCTTCCTTTCTTCCTTTCTTCCTTTCTTCCTTTCTTCCTTTCTTCCTTTCTTCCTTTCTTCCTTTCTTCCTTTCTTCCTTTCTTCCTTTCTTCCTTTCTTCCTTTCTTCCTTTCTTCCTTTCTTCCTTTCTTCCTTTCTTCCTTTCTTCCTTTCTTCCTTTCTTCCGTTCTTCCTTTCTTCCTTTCTTCCTTTCTTCCGTTCTTCCTTTCTTCCTTTCTTCCTTTCTTCCTTTCTTCCTTTCTTCCTTTCTTCCTTTCTTCCTTTCTTCCTTTCTTCCTTTCTTCCTTTCTTCCTTTCTTTTCTTCCCTTTCCTTCCTTTCTCTTTCTTCCTTGTCTTCCTTTCTTCCTTTCTTTCTTCCTTGTCTTCCTTTCTTCCTTTCTTCCTTTCTTCCTTTCTTTCCTTCTCTTTCTTCCTTTTTCCTTCCTCTTCTTCCTTTCTTCCTTATCTAGTTCTTCCTTTTCTTCTCTTTCTTATTTCCTTTCTTCCTTTCTTCCTTCTTCCTTCTCCTTTTCTTCCTTTCCTCTCTTTCTTTCTTTTCCTTTCTGTTCCTTTTTCATTCTTCCTTTGTTCTTTCTATCCTTTCTTCCTTTCGTTTCCTTTCTTTCTTCTTTCTGTCTTTCTTCCTTTCTTCCTTTCTTCTTTCTTCTTTCTTTCTTCCCTTCTTCCTTTCTGTTTCCTTTCTTCCTTTCTTCCTTTCTTCCTTAATTCTTCCTTCTCTTACCTTCTGCTTCCTTTCTTTTCGCTTCCTTTCTTCTTCTTTCTTTTTTTTCTTCCTTTCTTCCTTTCTTCCTTTCTTCCTTTCTTGTCTTCCTTTCTTCCTTTCTTCCTTTCTTCCTTTCTTCCTTTCTTCCTTTCTTCCTTTCTTCCTTTCTTCCTTTCTTCCTTTCTTCCTTTCTTCCTTTCTTCCTTTCTTCCTTTCTTCCTTTTTTCCTTTCTTCCTTTCTTCCTTTCTTCCTTTCTTCCTTTCCTCCTTTCTTCCTTTCCTCCTTTCTTCCTTTCTTCCTTTCTTCCTTTCTTCCTTTCTTCCTTTCTTCCTTTCTTCCTTTCTTCCTTTCTTCCTTTCTTCCTTTCCTCCTTTCTTCCTTTCTTCCTTTCTTCCTTTCTTTCTTTCTTTCTTCCTTTCTTCCTTTCCTTCCTTTCTTCCTTTCTTCCTTTCTTCCTTTCTTCCTTTCTTCCTTTCTTCCTTTCTTCCTTTCTTCCTTTCTTCCTTTCTTCCTTTCTTCCTTTCTTTTGTGCTTTGCCTTTTTTCTTTTTTCTTTCAGTTAGTTTGTCTGTCAATTTTTCTTCCTTCTTCTCCTGTTTCGTTCCTGTCTGTTCTTTCTTCCCTTTATTCCTGTGTTTCGTCCTTTCTTTCCTTTTTCTTGTCTCTCCTTCTTGTCCTTTGGAAACCATGTCATTCTTTGAAAGTGGTGCTGAGTGAGGTACAACAGTAGCGCCTTTTGCATTCGCAAAAAATCACAGGAAAGCCCTTGTTTTATGCAGTACCATCCACTCAGCAAAGCGTGGGGCCTTTTGTGCCGACTCAAGGCCTGAGTATGTATAATGAATTGTTGCTTGTACACATGCGTGAAACTTCACTCCGATCCAGTCTTCGCTTGGACTTGCGGGGTTTCCTAGAAACACCTCTTGCACTTGACCTTTGATCTGTAAGGTCTTGCTGCATGTGCATGTTGAAGTGCCCGGCAATTTTGCCTGATGAAAGCATTCGCCACTTGTCGTGACATAAATATGTTCAGGAACATAATTATTGCCTCTTTGAAATTGTGCGGTTTCCGCACGGCCTCTCAGCATGTCGATTTCGCCTTGTTGATCTCAGCTTTTCGCCATCAGCTGCTGAACACTGCGTTCATGGGAAACTTTTATTCGTGTGATTTCCGGCTTCGCTCTTCCGATCTCTCTTTCTCTTTCTTGGATTTGCTTTCGGAGTCCACGGCTGGCTGCTTTATGCGCCAATCTTTGCAAACTGACTGGATCTGGCTGATCGTCAGTCTGAGTGCCATTTTCCAAAGGTTCTGCAACGCTGGTGTAGCGCCCGTTCCGGTTCGAGCCCTTGTCAAACTGGAAAACGTCAACTTCTCCCTGAAAGCTCATGCCAAGAGATTAGAATCTTGTACGCCAAGCCCTCAATCATCAAAACCGCAAAGGTCACAAGGACCATGACAAAAACCATGAAACAGTCAACAGATGTTCTTGAATCTTCTGCCTTCGCCATCAGTGTCCACCAAAGATTGTTGTTGGACTGCTTCTCCTGCTCAACTACTCAAACCTTTTCATCAAGGTGCGATCATCTGTTTCCTCCAAGTCCTTTCCCAAATCTCATACTTCGCCGGAAGTCTCTTCATCTGCAAATGGTGTTGTTCTCTTTCTCGACCTGCAAAATGCCGGTAGTGAGGATGGTCATCAACTGTCGTGAAAGCATTGGCTTTGTCAAAGCATCTGCTGCCATCGATCGAGCGGGTATCAAAATCATCCATCTGATTCTGCCAGAGAGCCTAGACTCGCGCAGACTCAAATTGTAAACACGCTGTGCTTTGTCTTGAGGAAGTGTCCTGCTCTGCGTCACCAATTGGAAAACATCATTGCAATCACCATAGTTATCCATGGGCAACTGAGGGTTGCCTGTCTCTTGGATCTCATCAAGCTGCTGCAGACTCGGTTTCTTGGCCTTGCGCAGCATCTTGCTAATGCGAACACTCACCAAAACTGCAGCTTCGTGTCCAGAGATTGTGGCAAGTGTTTCTGGTTGAGTAGGAAAATCTCTTTGCTTTTGCACCATGGCTCCACAAAATGTGAGCCTTGCCACCATGCTTCATCGTCATATCATCATCACAGTCGATGTCGTACTCACCGCGTCGCGGAGCCACATGGTCTTCCATCGACATCATGAGCACACCTTCATGGGCATAGGCCTTGTCCTTCGTGTGAGAGCTTGAGTCATGGAAACATGCCAAACGTAGACCTCGCTCTGGGTGCAACTTGCAGAAATAGACGCCAAGATCCTTGTCGTCCTTGTTTTGGGCTCGCTGCAAAACTTGATTGGCTTGTCGAAGATGTCTGATCTCGGCAACGGTGATGTGGGATGCCAGATGTTGTTAACCAAAGCAAAGCACCCAAAATCGATCTGTAGCTGGTCACCTCTTCGCTGTTGAGCTTGTCATCATCCTTTCGGCCTTCAGCGATCTTGACTGGTTTACCTTGCCACAAAATTCACTTTGCACCATACGATATCCACCTGGGATTCGTTCATAGGTTGCTCCACAGCGCTCGAAAGGCAGCTGTTGTCTCGAAACTTTCTTGAACTTCGTGACAAAGGCATTGTAATGCTCATCCAGCCATTTCTGAGGTCCAGAAATGGCCATGTCGTCAACGTGACAAGTGCAGGCTGCTAAAATGGTGCCATCCGGCTTCTGCCATCTCCAGCTGTTCTCATCCACGACGCTTGGGACTCCGTCAATCTCCTTCAATACTCTGCCAGACATAATTGCCATGCCAGGGGTGCGTTGTGCATAGCAATACATACTGTGACGCGTCAACCACCTTGAAGTCGTTTGACATGTTGGCTAGGTGACGCCACACGTTCATGGGAGGAGTCACTATGACTGTCCTTGACGGGCTGTGGATTCCTCGGTCCAGCAACATCCTTTGTATTTGATGGAAATTCAGACCCTTGAGAAAAGCCCCTGCAATGTCCCACGGCTCCACGCACAAATCAAATACTGCGGCAGTTGAGAGCAGCAATCGTTGAGATAGCCTGGTAGCCGTGGTGGATCTGGTGGTGTGAAGATCTTTCTGACGATCAAGACATCCACGCGCACACAGTCTGGATTTGACTTTGCGTCCTCCATTGCTCAGCTTCTTCCACTTTCTCACCCATCGCGCATCAATGACAACAGCGTCTTCACCAAAAGAATCATGATGGCACTTCTTGAAAGCGCCCTCTTGGATGAACTGCTCGAGTTCAATCCTGTCGGCTTCTTCCACTTGAGGCCAAACTGAGAAAGCATCTTCTTCAGAAATGTCATCATGTTCAGTATCAACCTTCCAAGCATCTGACGTTCGCAAATCCACATGCAAAATGGAGTCAAAACTTGCGCCAATGTGAAACAGATATGCAGTGTTCTGCTGTGCTGATGCTGTGAAAACGTGCTGAGCAAACTCGTTTTCAGACCAAAGCTGTGTGCCAATCCAACTGCATCGAAGCTCTGTCTTGTGAATTCGCCTTCTTTCCAACATGTAGTGCAACGATGATGCCTCATAGTACACTGAGTGTGAAGCCCAGTGATCCAATCTGACTTTCTTTCTCTCTGGTGCAATGACAACTGTTCGTGTCTCTGCGCCATCACGTTTGGTTCCACGATGTTCGGCATCATCAGAATTCTGGTTCTCGTCCACTGACATGTCACCACTGTTGGAAGGAGGTGGATCTTGATGAACTGCTGCAGCAGGCTGACTTCTCTTCATCTCAGGCTCCGTGTCCTCTTCTTGGCTCATGATCACATGATACAAGATGTAGATCACGCACAGGTCTTCCTGTTTGAGTGCATTGGACTTCTTCATTTTCAGAGTGTTGTCAGACCAATGCTCTTGGATGCCATACTTCATACTTCCCAGGGGCCACGTGATAAGATGACCAGTGGTGTTCTTGGAGGCTTGAAGAACTTGAGAGATCTGCTGTAGATCATGCGGGACATCTTCCGCATGGTGAGTGAGGCAGCAACTTCTTGGATCTTGTTGAACATGTTTTCATCAAAACTGTCCTTGGACGGAACGTGTCTCCATTGAACGCCATCGATCTTGTGCTCTGGCATGTAGCCCAAAAATCTTTTGACAAAAGGAGGAACCATCTCCGCAAACTTCATGATGTCAAACAATGCATCTTCAGCTGTATCGGTCAGTCGCAGGTTGTGGCTCTGGTCGAGGAAGGTCTGCAAATGAGGTCGAATGTGCCTGATTGCAACAAGTGATACTGAATCACGGCTGTGCCCTCATCTGAATCCAGCCGCAAAAAAAGTGCGGGTCCACGCCGCCCAATGTCCCCTTGAACTTTACGATAGAATTCAACTTCTGAAGTTCCTGGCGCCAAAGATAGCCTGTGAGAGCGAGTTCTGTTCGCTGTGGCTGTTCTGTCATCCACAATGGCTTGTTGTACAGCAGCAAGTGACATGTGTCGAATGCATACTGCACGTTCAAACACAATGAGATCAGTCTGCAAGGCGCCAGCTGCGGCCATGATGCCCTTGGACTCGTCTCGGAAGGATTTCAAAAACTGCCGTTGCCGGGGTCACGCCACCATAGTTCAAGGTGAAATTGTGCGCCATCGCGCTTGCCATGGCATTGTCGGCAGCTTCGCAGATGATGCCGTGCCTGTCGAGTTCGGCCTTCAGTTTCAACATAGAGGGTTTTGTCAGGCCGATGTGTCTCTCGACCAGGTGTTGTTCCTTTCGGTTTCCTTAATGTTCAAACGCTCAAACTTGGCGCAAGTTTCGTGGCTCATCAGGCTGGTTTCTTGATCCATGATGAGAGCAGCACGTGTTCCAAAGAAACGCATCCAATGGTGAAGCATCTTCCGTTGGAGTTCTTCAGCTTCTCGTGAGTCCACTGCTACTGCAACCTTGTAGCGGGTTGCTTCATCCACCATGAACAAAAACTTCTGGTCCCAGAGCATGAAGAGATCTGCTGGAACACATTGATTAAAGGTCCCAGCATTGTGAAGCTTCAGCTGGGGACAATTGGGCAGCCGCACATAGCGGCGACAGATCTGGCACTTCATCACCGCATCGCCCACAAGGTTGAAGGTTGGGCACTTCTACTGGCATTCCTGCTTTGGCAAGTAGGTTCTTCAAATCTGCTGGCCGTGCATGGAAAACCTTACGAAAATCATACAGTGGTTTGAGAGCCGCGATCTTTCATGCGCTGGCTCATCAGGATTTCGGCAGGAGCATCTTCTGGCTGTGGTTGATCTTCTATTGATAATGGTTGCGCATCGTGTGAATGTGCTGGATCAGGTTGTAGTTGTGCTGGGGATGAATCATGTTGGGATTGTTGATTGGCACGTGGTTGTGATTGTTCATCATGTTGTGGTTGCACTGAATCAGGTTGGCGTCGTAATTGATCAGCTTGTTGGTGTTGTGGATCCTGCTGTAGTTGGTCAAGATCAGATGATCTGCGCAACGTGGATGATGATGATGGTCCACTGGAAATTGGTCGTTGTTGTGCTGGTGTTCCAGGTGCTGGCATTGGTGTTGAAGGTGCTTTTGATGTGGCAGGTGTCTTTTGTGATGATTTGACAACTGAGTCGGACTGCTTGCCACCTCATTCTTCAAAAGCTTTTCCAAAGAGAGTGATCTGCCAGTCCTCAATGTTGGTCTTTGCTTCAATTTGGGAGTGACTGCAGGTCGTGAGGTCCTGCAGGTCATCCATGGTCCAAACTTTCACATTGTCGTGGATCTGGATCCTCAAGGGTGCAGTGTGCTTGGGCAATTGTGGCTCTGGTGATGCCATTCTTGAGGGCCGTAAGCAGACCTTGATGCTCTTGAGATACATCTGGTCAGAGACAAGGCTTCTCAGGATGGACACAAGTGTCTGATCTGTGACCCAATGTTGGTAGCTGATACGATACTTGATTCAGCTGCTTCGCCAAAAACTGCAAGAGACTCATGCACCACCTGGACCAAAGCTGCTTTCCAGAAAACTCGTTCCTCAACGTTCAATGGAAGCACCAAGACAACATCCTTCATGGGGTTCTTTTTTGCTTCCTTCTTCCATTCTTTTACTGGATCAACAGTCACAGGTGGATGCTTTCTTGTTCTTTTGCCATCGGTCGTAGGATATACTGCCTGGCGGCATTCCCCAGTCTGAACTCAAAGAAGGACTCAAGTGCCTTGTTCACCAAGTCCTGATCGCTCTGCCCACAAGCATCTCTGAGAGCACTGCAAAGTGCTTGAAGTCCAGAAGGGGTGTGATGCTGCAAGATGATGCTGTTGTTATTTGGATCCCTGACCTCGTCTACGCTGAGGCAAACTAACGCCTGGTCGCCCACGTCGTAGCCGCCGTCGGGTCTGATGAGCCTCAAGTTGATCACGAGCTTCTGTCAACGGCCAATCACGCGTCCACCAACTAGCAGCCCGACAATTTCATCTGCTCCATCAAAAACTTTGTACCAGGGGCGCAACTTCTCAAAGTAGGATCTCAACGTGTAGTCAGGGATGCTGGGCCCCCAACCAGGTGGCACTTCTCTGCGACATTCCGTCAACGGTATTGATCCTGATGAAGGGCCTGGTTGCTACATTGTTGCTGCTCGCAAGCAAGTGCCAAAGATCTCAACAATCTGGAATGTTGCAAGGGATTCAAGAATGATGTGGTCCAGCAGCAAGAAGCGCAAAGCAAACAGTGCACTGCTCCAGCAAGTGACCGCAATTGATTCAATGAGATAGTTGCCACCGTAGGTCTCAACAGGTCCGGGATGCAGCAACTTTGATATTCCTGGAAACCTGATGGGCTATCTGTCACCTGGATCTTTCCACAGGGGCAGTCGGTGTTGTCAAAACTTCGGGTTCCAGATTCCAGAAATGGCTTGACGCAACTGGTGCAGAATGCAAAGGGTGATACCAGGGTGAAAATCAGGAACCAGAAAGCCCTCGTAGTTCCAAAGGAAAAAAGGTGCTCCGAAGAGCACAGCGATGATGAAGTCGCAGCAGCCGCTGATGGTGACCGCACAGCGAGGGCAGCCACTATTGCGTTACCGAATGCCCTTGACAGCCTCCGATGCCAAACTCAGCAAAGCGTGGGGCCTTTTGTGCCGACTCAAGGCCTGAGGTATGTATAATGAATTGTTGCTTGTACACATGCATGAAACTTCACTCTTCCCAACACCTGCAATATTCAGTATCTGGGTATCTCGGTGGTTCAAGGTGTACACTCTTGACAAATTGTGTGTGTTGTTTCTTTCTTGAGAGTGGTAAAGGAATTTGGGAAGCTTGTACCAAGTAAGAAACAACGGTAGTAAAGGAGTTGTGTTCTTTTAGATTTTTTGTCAGGAATAGGTCCTCCTGAAAAGATCAGCCCGAGCAAAAACCTGTCAGAATTCGGTACCATACACATACGATTTAGTCCCATTCGACCAATCGATATACAATGGCTGTTATGACTATCAACAAAAATGTTGATTTTAGGCAAATATCCTAAAGGTATATCCAATGTTTAAGCACAAATGCAGCTGTTCTTCATGACTTTCCAAAAACTGCAAACCTCAACAACCTCGAGAAAATGCAGAGAAAGTGGCCATGTTTGCCCAACAAGGGTGTTCAGTGGCAGCATTGGCGCAGGTGCAGAAGATGAAGAGGAACCACCCAGTTGCTGACTGCCTGAACTGCCGGATGAAAAGAACCAATTGTGTTTTTGCATGTGTTTGTTTCCTATTGTTTGGATCAAGAAATTTGCGGTATGGGTCGAAATTATCCCCCCAAATGGATGCGGTTTACTGCTGAAGTGCCAAAATTTTGGCGGCGCCTGCTTCAAGTGCCCGAGCCGCTCGGCTCACTGGACGCCTGGCGTCCTCGGGGTCGGCACTTCTGTCCTGCTGGAGGGAGATGCCCTCTGGAGCTTCCTCGGAGGCATGGTGCTTCCTCTGTTTGGGTGTCAAGTTGTGTCAAGTTGTCATGACGAAAGTTTCACAGATGAGCTGCTTTTCGTGGGACTGGGATCAATGCGCCGCTTTCAGCAGCACTTTCAGCCATGTCAGTTCCTCCACACTGGTCCTGCACGTTGGAAAGAGTCATGAGTTTATGCCAATCTGCATCATTCCCCAAAGATTGTGTTTTGTTCCAGGCTGTCCTCGGGATCAAGCACGCACACACAATTGTACCTCATGTCATTCCACCAGAACTCCAGTCACAAGATCTGGTCTCAGGATGTCTCAGGATGTCCTCTCAATTGAATTTTCATCCAGCTGAAGAATATTGATCTTCATACGCAAGCAGTCTTTGTTGAACAAAAATTGTGTCATAGTCTCTTAATCCACGATGCGTTTGGTATGCTGGGTGGCCCGCGAACCCAGTTTCAAGGACACCAGTGGCAAAGGCATTTGGCTACATGAGGTGCTTGTAGATCTGCTTTGAGAGTGGCAACAGCTGAAAACATTGATCTCTGCATTGCACACCTTTCAACGTCAATCATACAATCAGTCCACACGCTCCTATAGCTCCTATACCTACTGGCTTTAGGGAATCAGTTTTGCCATCAAAACTAAAACCGACCCTAGAACAGATTGGCACCTGGACAACCGCGTCTAAAATTCTAAAGGATGCTGACAGCGGTATGCTGTTTTGCTGAAAGCTCTAAAGGCTCAGAGCATGAACCAAGACAGCTGCAAGCGGATCAAGCGGATGTTGGTTGTTCTCTTTCGCGGTGCATTTTTAGGGCAAAACTCTTTGCGTTTCCCATGCAAGGGCTTGAGGCACCTCAACTCGGCTTAACTCCTGGCCAGCTGAAGAGCTGGAGCGAATCAAGATGGAAGGGTTTGTCATGGTTTGTCTACGGAGATACCTCCAAAGGGGGTGTCTATGGATACCATCTTTTTCTCTATGGAGATTGCAACGTATAAAGTTGGCACAGAAAGACAATTCTTGCGCCGGCGTTTGACTAAGTTCTATTGGGAGGAACATGGGCACATGGGGGGGTTTGTGCCTCTTTATCCTTTTGACTATGGGTCAAAGGCCTGGTACCTTTGTGAACACCATATTCGCTGGTAAACGGTTGACCCATCCCCATGAAGGAGCAAACCCGTCAATATCTTTCTGCTGGTCTTTAAAGGACGGGCCTTGTCGGTCTGCACGTAGAGATGTGCAAGTTGAGGAACCGAACTCAAGCTCATGCCACCTTGAGGCGACCAACACCTGCACCGGTGGCAGCCCCGAGCCACATAGTTGCAAAGGTGATGGCGCATTCGAATAGTTTGAAAACCTCGCACATGCGTTTTTCATAAAGCACATGTTGAGTTTCCCACTTCTTGTTGTCTGCATAGTTCTTGGCAGATCGATAAAGGGAGCGCGCGAAGACAAGGGTGGACCCTGCGATCACAGTCCTGCACAGCACAAACAAAAACTGCTGCTACGTGCTACGGAGGAAGGCTTCTTGCTTTTCAGAAAGTACCGAAGCCAAGAAAATATTGGCCCAGGTATTGGTGCAACTTCTGTAGTCTTCTTTCTTGATCACAAAGGTGCGAAGTCTTCTGCCAAACTCAATGCCGTGGTCTATACTCATGTCTACTGCATAGACTCCATGATCCACGCAGGAACCCTCTGGCATCA